TTCATCAGGTATTTTCGGTAGTTCTGCCTCTTGTATATATTGGTGTATTTTGTTTTCTGATATTGCCTCTTGAACATATAGTTTCTCATAGTATCTCTGTATTATTTTTTTCTTCTCTTCATTTTCATAACATAATGTGCCATTTTCATCTATAAGTTGTGATATTCTTTTTAATTCTTTTTCTTTCTTCAGTTTATATGCTAACCATCTACCTGGTTTGTTTGCATTTTCAAAATAATTCAGTTTAGCCCCTCTAACCTTTTGTGCCAATTCTTATTTTTCCATTAATCCAATTTTGTGTTTGATTATATCCATTTGATTTTTGATATTTTTTGTGTTGTGTGTATCTTTGTAAGTCTTTCTCCAATTTCTTACATTCTTGTTCTAAGATTTGCTGTGTTTGTCTCTTTTTAATGTTTCTTCTTCTTGTGTAAGTTATAATAACACCTCTGGTATATGCCTTCATAGTATCCCATACATTTTATAGTGAGGTCTCTTCTGATTTAGTTTCTTTAAGGAAGAAAGCCAATTCTTTTTCCATGTTATTAATAAATTCTTTTTCTTTCAAAATCGAATTATTCAAAGTCCATCTTGATCTTTTCTTTTGTCCCTTCCATTTAATCCTTATTGGGTTATGATTGGCCCAAATATTTGTGTCAATATTTACTTCCTGGATGTTAGTATCAAATCTGTTGATATCCAAATCATATCTATTCTTGCCCATTATAAATGTCTATTTGAATAAAATGTAAATTGTCTATTTTTGCTGTTCAATTCTCTCCATATATCTTTAATATTCAACTCCTCCACCATCTTAAAAAAGGATTTTGGTAATATTTTTCTGTTCTTATTTGTTTTCTGTGTTTTATAGTCCAGTTCTGAATTTACAATTGTGTTGAAGTCTCCAAAGATACATATCATATTCCAATTCAATAATTTTGTTGTGTAGTTTCTTATAAAATTGGTCTTGCTGATTATTGGGAGCATAAATTGCAATTAAAAGTACCTTTAAATTGTTATCTGTTATTTCAACCATGAAAATTCTTCCTTTTTCAACTGTATAAATTTGCTTAGCTTTAATTGTATTTCTAATATATAAAGCAACTCCTTTTTTATTTTGTTGTGCCAATGATGTGAATATATCCCAATTCTAGAACAATTCAACACATGTGCATGCTGTTTTTTAATAGCACTTCTTGTAGAGAAATTATATCCATGTTTAATTTTTCTAGTTTGTGAAATATCTTTTTCCTTTTAATTGCCGAATTTAGTCCATTTATATTTATAGAAATTAGTTTCTTTTCTTCTTCCATTGTTTAAACTTCAAAAGTAGGATTTATTGCTCTTGTTGTTCTTTGTTCTCTTGGTTCTTTAATTAACATTTTGCCATCTACTGCTCCCTCCTCCTGTCCCCTTTCCTCCCTTTGTTCCTTCTCCATTTCCTTTGCCATTTCTTCTCATATTTTAAGTTCCTCTTCTCTTGCTCTCTCATCTTCTGCTCCTCTGAAGTATTCATTATAGAATAGTTCTGCTCTCTCAACTGAGTCTATTCTGTGTTTTTGTTCTCGCCAAATGAATGTCAAACCTTCAGGAATCAACCATCTATAATTAACTTCTTTTTTGATTAACATCTTTGTCAGAAATTGGTATTCTCTTCTTAAATCTCTCACTTTCCTTGGTATTTGTTTCAAGGCTATGATTTTTTTCCCTTGTACTTCAATAAATCGTCTCTTGCTTTCTGCAGTATCTCTGTTCCTATGGTTTTCTTGGTAAATCTCACGTGTACTTCTCTAGGTAATTTATTTCTCATCGCATATCTGGTGTATACTCGGTATATTTCATCCATTCCATACATCATTTTTTCTTTAGCTATCTCCAAGGGTTCCGCTAAAATTTCTGTCATGATTTCTTTGAGGTTTTCTCCTTTTTCTTCTTTGATGTTTTGAAATCTTAAATAGAAATCAGCCTTTTCCATCTCCCAGAATATTGAATCTTTCCCTTTTTCACTTTCAACCATTGTCAATCTATTATCTATTTCTCCTACTTTCTTATCTGTTTTATCACCTCTTTCTTCCATCTTCTGTATTTTTTCTCCATATATCCTGGAGCCTCTGTGGTGCAGTTGTTAGAGTGCAGTATTACAAGCTACTTCTGCAGCTAGCTGCCTACAATTTGGCAGTTCAAATCCCACTAGGCTCAAGCTTGACTCAGCCTTCCATTCTTTCGAGGTGGGTAAAATGAGGACCCAAATTGTTGGGGGCAATATGCTGACTCTGTAAACTGCTTAGAGAGGACAATAAAGCACTGTAAAGCGGTATATAAGTCTAAGTGCTATTGCAATTAACACCTTCCATCTTTTCCATCCTTTCCTCCAGCTTTTCCATTGTATCATCTGTACGCTTCCCTTGATCTTGTATTACTTGAAGCATTGACTTTATTTCTTACATTGAAATCTCTTTTTCTTTCTCTTGCTAAAGCATAGTTGTAATAGATCGTTGACCAGCTAGGCTCAGAGATAGAAAGTAGGAACTGATGATCCAATAGGAATTCTCTTACTTATATCAGATCAAATTATAATCCATTCGCAAAAGCCCCAAAAAATTAAAAATAAATCTTCAGGTTCTTCTCTACCTCAATCCAACTTTATCCAAAAGAAGAAAAGAAAAACATAATGGAGTTAGAAGATCCAAAAACAGAAAAGGAAACTATAAATTCGAAGAAGAAATGGAATAAAAATGTATACAATTTGAAAAGTCTAATATATTAAAAAAAGAAAAAAGAAAAGAGAGATTTTCCCAAAAAAGTAAAGAGAAAAGAAAATCAAATCTGTCCACTTCTACATAGAAGAGGAGAGGAAAAGGGAATAACAAAAAGAAAAAAGACAGAAAAAGATAAAAATAGAATCCAAAGATGCCAAATTATATCCACTTGTTAATCCACTTGTTAGTCAAACTATCAATAAGGAAAAAAAGAAAAAATGGAAAAGGAAAAAAAAGTAGAGAAAAGAAAACCAACATTCCAAATTAATCCACATTGAGAAACTGAGCCAGAAAGTAAAACAACCCCCCCCCCGCCAAAAAAAGAAAGGAAAAAATAAATCCAACATATGTTCCAGCAAAAATAGAATAAAGAACAAAAAAAGTACCAGCTGTAATTTATAAATCCATGTCACTAAGTAAACCAAAATCTCAGTGTAGCATTCAGTCAGTCTAGAAAGCCAGAATCAAAAAACATATATATATTATCCAAGGTCACAGTGTTCTTTCTCTTTCTTTTGCTTTATCTTATTCAACTTTCCAATTGTGTACCAGCTATATGAAAGCAGCAGCTGTTTTCAGTGCTGACTCATTATCTTTCTCCACTTCTCTGTAGTCAAAATAGCTTAATCTTTAAAGTCTATTGTTCTTAAAAAAAAATCCTGTGACCTCTAGATGGCAGTATTGCTTAGCTTTCCTTACACATGTATCTTAGTTACACTGTATCTCTGTGTTCTAAACAGTGAAAGTGAATAAAAGTCAAAAGAACAAAGTACTTCAGAGATTTTAAACTAAGAAACAAAAAAAGTTCAATTTCTTCTTAATTTTTAAGTTCAGTCCAGTCCAGCTGTTTAAAGCAAAGAAGCAAACAAAATATTCTTTTTAAAAATATATATAAAAAGTCTGAATAAAGTTGACAGCTCCCTGCCGTTCGCCGCTGCCCTTAACTTTCCTGTCTTCTTTCTTTCTTTAATAAATCTTTCACTTGGTGTACTCCTCTATCTTTATTTTTAAAAATAAGAATTTCTCACCCAGACCAACACACCTGCTTCTTTCTATTCTTTTTCCATTCTGAGGCCGGCACAGCTTCTTAGCGGCTCGAGATTAATGGTCGCTTCCCACCGCTGCCAGACTGTAGGAGCTTTCCTGGATCAACGAGGGACTACGATGTCCCTGGGATCGACAGGATGCCCTCCTTTCACTTACCATCTCTCTAGGACCATCTAGCTGCGGGGGTATCGGTGTCTTTCTCGGAGCTCTGAGAAAAGCATCTTTCCGCTGCCGCTCAAGCCCTGCCCTGCCCTCCCCTGGCCTAGCATGAATCCTTACTGGAAGGATTGGAGAAAGCACTTGGATTCACTCTGCCAAGCAGCTCAAGGCACCCAATCCTTCCTGTAATGCACTGCAATTTCAGGTAGTTAAATAATCTAGTAGACCCTAAAGAAGTGAGTGGAAAATTAGTCACCCCAAACAGCAAATGGTTGACAGATAAATTTAATAAGAATATAAATAAATAAAAACTCTATTCTAACTTTTATTAATCTTTTAAATAATTTCCTAAGAAATTGTGCTTAACTCTTATTCAGAGCATACATTGAAACCATAGTAAATCATAATTTTTCCTTGATAATTGCAAACTGTCCATTGTTATCTTTCAATAATCTATGCTAGGAATGTTGCATCCAGTTTTGATTGCCACAATATAAACAAGATGTTGAGACTCTGGAAAGAGTGCAGAGAAGAAGAACAAAGATGGTTAGGGAGCTGGAGGCTGAAACATATGAAAAATGGTTGCAGGAACTAAGTATGTCTATAATCTACTGAAAAGAAGGGCTGGGGTGACATGATAGCAGTCTTCTAATATTTGAGAGGCTGTCATAGAGAAGAGGAGGTTGATTTATTCCCCAAAGCACCTGAAGGCAGAATATCAGATATCACTCATAAATCACTGTGATGCTTTGGATACCTTACATCCTACAAAATAATCTGATTTTTTCTGGGCTTTTAAGAAACAAGTTTTTAGGTTTTTTTGTACTGGTGACAATTTTATTGCTTCTTGCTTTTTCTTTGAGGTTTTCAGCCATTGCAGCATCCATCCCCACCAATAAGTCTTCTCTCTAGAAAGATCCATGCATTCTGAACACCCCCTGCCTTACTCCCTAACCCAGCCTGTTCCCTCCAGTAGCAGCAGGTGGAGATTCAGATTGGCCTCTCTCCCTTCCCAAAAACTCCTGTGTTTCTCAGGTTCAGCTCTGAAAACATTTGGCCTCTTCATGCCCAGAAAAGGACAGAAGAGCAGGAGATCCTGAAGCCGCCACAAAGCCCCTCAAGGTGCAAGATTCACAAGGATTCCATCAGGTTTGTATATGACAAATCCACCAAAGGCCAAGAAGGTGGCCTTAATAAGGAATACCTTTGTGCCTCTCCAGCAGGCCCTCTGGAGAAAGGGCTGGACAAAGTGGAAAGGCAAAAGGAGGAGGTGTGGACATGTGTCAAGAGTCTCAGAAAGCACCAAGATCAGGATCATGGGTCACAATAGTGAGGACTGGGGACAAGGCTGCTGTTCTGACTTAGGCTTCCCCAATAGCACGAAGCCGACTCATGGTCCCCATAAACTCTGTTTATTGAGTTTACAGTGAACTCCTCTCCAGCAAAGTCCCAGCCAACAGTCTGTCAAGATACTTCCCAATTACAGACCTTTATTAGGTTTGGAGAGTTGCCAGGATGATATCTTTCAGATACCACCTGTAGCAAGAATGCAGGAACAGATCACCCAAATGAACTGTTTCCTGCAAAACCCCACTCACCTTTCACTCCTCTTTTATTCCCCATGGGAGGGGCCATTCACCGTCCACCTGTGGCTTTACTCCCAAGTCAACCCTTAGCTGTTCCCTTCTTCTGGCAACTCTGTGCATGCACACACTGGGAACAGGCTCCAGCTGTTCTTCTGCCTCACTAATGTCTGACTCTGAAGGCAGCTGATAACTGTCAGACAGCCCTGGCCCCATCTCTGCCTCTGATGCAGAGCACTTGTCAGAGCCTTCCCCAGATTCCAGGACTGCCCATGTTCCTCCCCTACCTCCTCACTGTCTGAATCTGCTGCCAGCTCTGTTGGCTGCTGGTGGGCCACAACAGCTACTTTAAATGTTGCCCATGACCATCAGGGGCCAACCTAATCTATTTTTTCATAAGCTAATTCATTAATTTCATATTTGGCCACAATACTATGGAGGCAAAACCTCGCTATGGCTGAGGATGAGTGTCCTCACAAGATTTTTCTCACCTCAAGATTTTTTTCCTGTGCAAAAGAGATTCTTCTGCCCATGTTGATAGAAATAGCTGAACAGTCGCTGAGGAAGAAGCCGCCTGTCTCAAGCAGGTGCTGTTGCTGGGGAGCCTATGGCCAGAGACCCTGCAGGGAGCTGGGAGGCAACTCTGCCCAACCCAGCGCCTTCAGCTCGTGATCCCAGGGGCTTTCTGACACTCCGGTGGTTTCAGGCTCTTTCTCATGTGGGGAGGGTAAGGCACAGCATAGTTCTGCACAAAGAGATACACTGAGGTGGGGCCACTATGTGCAGTGGGATACAATGTGGCCTTTCTTGCTAGAGTTATCTTTCTCTTTGTTTTAGTCCAAAGATAAACATTAAAAACAAGGCAGTTTGTTGGAAATGAATTGAAGCAGTATTTTTTCACACATGGATTCTGAATTTGTGCTGAAATTCTATTGAGAACCTTCTATGGGAAAGGACCTTTTTGGCAGGAAATATACTCCAAACACACATGGTCCTTTTCAACTATGCCATGCAGTTCCTTTTTAATGAAGTTTCTTTTTAAAGAAGCAACGGATGGAAACTAATCAAGGAGCAAATAAACCTAGAATTAAGGAGAAATTTCCTAACAGTGGATCAGTTTCCTTTCAGAAATTATGGGTGCTCCATCCCTGGAGGTTTTAAAGAAGAGTCTGGACAACCATTTGTCTAAAATGGTAGAGGGTCTCCTCCAAGTTCCCTTCCAACCCCGTTATTCTGTTAATTCTCAAAGCAGTTGCATGATTTGGATGACACTCTTTGGATCCCATCAATAGTACTGGGGAAAATTGATTATTATTCTGTGCTTTAGTTAGTTTAGTTTTAAGTTAGCTTATTATAGCTATGATTCTTTGACGGTAAAGACCTCAGAGTTGTAGGACTGGGGAGGTGCAGGCATTGGGGAGCAGCCCCAGGCAGATGTTCTTAACATGTTCTAGGGCACAATTTGGGCACAAGTGGGTATGTGGTCGAAGCGAATTTCTACCAACTCATAGCCATTCAATTCCCCACACACCATTTCCTGCACTGCCTACCACTTTAACACCGATAGCAAATACCATCATGAACAAAACCAAGGCAAAAGTGCCAAGATACAATTAATGTGGTGATGAAAATTATTCAGTTGTATCCAGTTGCTGCATTTGATTTTGTGAAATGGCATCTGCTGATCAAAAAAGCAGCCTCTGCCCCTGTGGGAAAACATTGGGATGAGGAAGTGTGTCAACTATGGAATTCACTGCTGCCACATTGTTGAAGAAAGTGGGAGGGGTGATATTAATTGAGTAGCTCTTAGTAGACAAAATATAGTATTTTGATAGTTCAAGATTACAGAGTGTGGTGCAAAAAGAATTAAAACTTACTTTGGGATTGGTGCACGTGATCTGGTGATGAAGGAAAAGGGGATGGGTTGTAGCTTGGGACTTTGTGGGGAAGCCAGAAAGATTTAGTTCCAGATTTCCCCAGTATGTGCCCTGGTACTGTTCCAATAAAAGTACTTTGAGGTGGCGTGTGTCTTGGAGTTACTGACAGGACTGGATTTTCCCTGGAATGCTGACAATAATCCAGAACTGTAACAACTTTCAGCTCTCCCAAGAGGGAGCTATCAGGGGTGCTGAACCCCAGGATTTGTTCCAACAATGGATCAATCCAAAGAATCAGCCAACATGGGAGGTGAGACAGATAGGCATTGTGGGCGGCACTGGAAGATTAATTCAATCCCCCAGCCCCTCTTTGGAGGAGATAAGGTATGCAGAAGAGAGGCAAGATTTAGGAGCCCGGCCCGAAGAAACAGATTCCTGGAGAAGTTGTCAGACGGGACAAAAAAGCTGCCTGGAGAATTCATTCCATCAAGTCTTTTACATACTGCAAAGGAGGTATATTGGAGGTGTGGAACTCCAATTATATCGGAAGGCCAACAGGATCGAATTTCAAGGGAGAGACGAGAGATGCAGACTACAACAGGTATGTTGCAATCTTCAAGTCCTTCTCCCCCACACCCAGAAGGAAATTTACCCCCTGCAGAAAGTATCCGTCCAGGGTGGGGATTTTATCCTGGTCAAGGGTGGATCCAGTACCAGTGGATGCCAGCGCCAGCAATGCCCTGGCCCCACAGAGAATTAGCGATCCCTTCCCAACAAAGGAATCTGTACAGGCAGCAGGAAGCAGCCAACCCCCTTTCCTCATGCAGGGAACGAGGCAACAGTCAGCCTCTTCATGGCTAGTCCCTGATCAGCCCCCACTCAGAGCAACCCTGCAGAGGCCCTTCTTCCAGAGAATACCAACCCCCAGACCAGACCAGATGCAGTTTAAGGCCAATTTTGACGGACGCCATTAACATTTATCTTATTTTCTCACTCAAATCTGGTCTCACATAGACCAATTTGGAGACCAATATGCAACCGAATGTGATCTAGTTACTGCAATAACAGATGGGATGAATGAGGGGGATGCTTCTGACTGGGTGGCGCAATTGCACTACGAACAGGCCCCAGAACTACAGGATGTCAATGCATTTCTTCAATTGCTGAGACTCAGATTTGAGAATCGAGACAGAGTGGTTGAAAATGAGGACAAATTAATGGAAATGAAACAGGGCAAGCGACCCTTATCAGATTTTATATGGGACTTTAGAAGGGTTGCAAGCCACCTCATAGATTGGCCTGAAAAATTAATCTTGCACTATTTTAAAAATGCCATTGACCCAAAAGTAAAGAAGCCCTATGACATTAGGGGAATACCAGAGACCCTGCAAACGTGGTATGTGGCCACCCTCAAATTCGACCATGACATCAACCTGAAGGCCCTCCTAGGAGAGCTGTGGCCAGGCGACAGCTGACCAGACCTGCTAAACTGCTCCCACCCAAACCACCAGAATGATAAAGTGTTATTGTTGTGGCCAGGGTGGCCATAGAGTAGCCGACTGGCCCCTGCATATGTTCCACAAGCTCCACAACCGAGGTCTGATACAGCTGCCAGGGGGTGGAAAAGTCAAGGAAAGCCGCCCGACACTAGCCGCTTTGCTAGACATACCATAGAGGGTCCTCTCCATGCAGAAGGGAGCAACAAACTTCCAGACCAACACAGCCTTCCTGGACAACCCACTGATGAAGACGATCCTATGGGAGTGCACCCATCACACCTTTTACCGTCAAATGAAGTTAGTGGTGCCTGACATGGGGGAGGCAGGGGAATTAGAAGCTGTCATAGATACCGGATGCTCTAGATGCCTTATTGGGCTTCCCATAATTGAACAATTGGGCATAAAAACTAAACCACTAAAATGCCCAATCAGATTTTAAGTGGATGGGACATTAATTGAGGGGACCCCAGCCACCCAAATGACAGAGTTAATCAAACTGGAGATGGGTCCTCACCGCGAACTCATACGTTTTATAGTAGCTCCAAGAATGTCAGAATCTGTCATATTGGGACTTGCTTGGCTACATAAATGGGCCCCTACCATCAAGTGGGAGGATGGATTCCGGAAAATCATTATTGGAGTGGGGCCACTGCCCCTCTTCCTCCCACTAAGAAACCACCATCCAACCTGGGTCCAGCAACCACCGCCTCGGACCTTCTTCTAGGTACTCCCGAAGTGCCCAAACAATATAGAGACTTGGCTGAGGCATTCAATGAAGAGGAATGTAATGTTTTACCTCCCCATCAAGCCATAGATTGCGCCATATAATTAGAACCTGGGGCAAAACTGCCAAAACCAAAGATGAATTCCATGACACCAGCTGAAATGACTGAATTAAGGAAATACATCGATAGCAATTTGGACAGAGGTTTCATTGAACCTGCCAAATCTAAGTTGGCCGCTCCAGTGCTGTTCAAAAAAAAAGAAAGATGGCGGGTTGAGATTATGTGTTGATTTTAGGGGCGTGAATGCTGTGTGCGTCAAAAACATGTATCCTCTCCCCCTTATGAAGGACTTATTAAACCACCTGTCAAAAGGCAAGGTTTTCACCAAGCTAGATCTGAGAGAAGCTTACTACCGAGTCTGCATAAAAGAGGGAGATGAATGGAAAACAGCCTTTAACTGCCCTTTGGGTAGTTTCCAATTCCGAGTCATGCCTTTAGGACTTCATGCCCCCCCCCCCCGCAGTATTTATGCAACTCATCAATGAAGTGTTACATCCGCACCTGTATCGGGGGGTCCTGGTCTACCTAGATGACATCCTTATATTCAGCGAAACCATTGAGGAACATGTCAAATTGGTCAGACAAGTCCTGAAAAACCTTTTGGTCGCCAAGTTATATGTAAAACTGTCAAAATGCGAATTCCACAAGGAGTCACTGGATTACTTAGGCTACCAAATATCCAACCAGGGAATTGAGATGGACCCTGGAAAAGTGAAAGCCGTGCTGGAGTGGCAACCCCCCAAAATACGAAAGCAACTTCAAAGCTTTTGGGGTTTTGCCAATTTCTATAGACAATTCATTCCTTCTTTTGCCGAGGTTGCCCTCCCGTTGACAGAGTTATTAAAAACGGGCCCTTCACCCACCGAACTGAAGCCCAGTCAACCCCTTGCTTGGACAATGGACTGTCAGAAAGCTTTTGAAACCTTAAAACGCCTCTTTGCAACTGAGCCCATTCTCCAGCATCCAGACCCGACCAGACCTTTTATAGTCCAAGCTAATGCTAGTGATGTGGCAGTAGTGGCTGTTCTGCTACAAAAGGACTCTCAGAACCGACTGATAGCTTGCGCTTATGTGTCCAAAAAGCTAATGGACATAGAGCAAAGATGGGCAGTCTGAGAGAAAGAAGCATTTGCAGTACGATGGGCTTTGTTGACTTGGAGGCATATCCTAGAAGGGGTGAAGGAACCGTTTGAGGTGTGGACTGATCACAAGAACCTCGAGGCTCTAAAGACACCTTGGAAGCTATCACCTAAACAAGTCTGCTGGGCTCAATACTTCAAGCAGTTCAACTTCAACATGAAAACATATTGGCAGACACCCAGTCCAGGAAACCCCAGTTTGACAGTCACCAAGAGGAAATAGTGCAGGCTTTGATATCAGAAGCTCAATCAGCAGGCCAAGTAACCACTCGAGGCCAAGCCAACCGCAACCCCAGGCACCTGGAAGACAAATTGATCACGGAATTGAAATCAGCCCTATTGACCGATCCGTGGTTTGCGGAGCATCAAACTGAAGTAACAATGAATGAGGGACTGGCTTGGAAAGGGACTAAATCTTATATACCCGCAAACCTAAGACTAATGCCACTAAAGCGTAGCCATGACTCGCGGCCGGGGGGACATTTCGGGTTCTTAAAAACCCTACATTTAGAAGACAGTTCTGATAACCAAAAATAAAACCTGACATCAAGGACTATGTAAAAAGCTGCTCAATTTGTGCCACGATGAAACACAGAACTGGAAACCCCACTGGCCTCCTCCAACAAGTAGCTGAACCAACACAGCCGTGGGAAGAAATTGCAATGGACTTTATTGTAGAATTACCTGAGAGGAGGGAATACAATCATTTGGACTGTTATTGACTTATTCAGGCCCACTTTACAGCCTGTAAAGGACTTCCATCTGCAAAAAAGCTTGCAAAACTGTTCGTGAAGCATATCTAGAGGCTACACGGAGTACCTCGTAGAATAATATCAGACAGAGGGGTACAATTTATTGCTAAGTTCTGGAAGGAGTTTTTAAAGTCTATTGGGTTGTCCCAAGGGTTATCCTCAGCATTCCATCTGGCCTGCAGCAGAGCAGCGGAAAGGGCTAACGCCATGGTGGAACAATTTATTAGATGCTATGTAAATTATCAACAGGAAAACTGGGCTGAATTATTACCATTTGCAGAGGTTGCACAGGGTTGACTCCATTCTAAATCAACACTGGCATGGAAGTTGTCCCTATGCCAGAATTACCAAGAGAACCTCCTACATCCATGTCTGTAACAGAATGGATGAACTCATTGGAAAAAGGTTGGGAGGATACAAAAAAAGCTTTGACTGAAGCTGCAAAGGATTACAAAAAGCAGGAGGACAAACATAGATCCCTCCAACCACTGTTTAAAGTAGGAGACAAAGTATATTTGTCAAACAAATATCTTACATTGAAACTTCCTAGTAAGAAGTTGGCGCTTAAATTCTTAGGTCCATTCCCGATTTCAAAAATAATCAATCCGGTCACGATCCAATTAAGTCTTCCCCGGCTATTGAGAAAAATTCACCCAGTGTTCCATAGTAGTTTATTAAATCCAGCTGTTACATCAATGATAAGACCAATAACAATCACTCCTTCTAAACCTTTAATTGTACAGGGTGAGACACATTATGAAATCAAGAAAATCCTCAATTCTAGATTACACCGAGGACGGTTGCAAAATTTGGTCTTATGGAAGGGTTACCCTATTTCAGATGGTACTTGGGTAAAAAGTTGGGATGTACATGCAGATAGATTGGTTAACCAATTCCATGAGGAATTCCCCCACAAACCAAAGGGTCCTCTTGGAGGGGGGAGAGAGGGTTAAGGGCAAAGCATTAACCCTTGGTTGTGTTTTGGTTCTTATTTTCTTATAGGTGAATGATATTTCAAGGGGGGATGCCTGTCAACTATGGAATTCATCGCTGCCACATAGTTGAAGAAAGTGGGAAGGGGTGATGTTAATTGAGTAGCTCTTAGTAGACAAAATATATTATTTTGATAGTTCCAAGGTTACAGAGTGTGGTGCAAAAAGAATTAAAACTTACTTTGGGATTGGTGCACGTGATCTGGTGATGAAGGAAAAGGGGATGGGTTGTAGCTTGGGACTTTTCTGGGGACGCTGGGAAGATTTAGTTCCAGATTTCCCCAGTATATGCCAGGTACTGTTTTAATAAAAGTACTTTGAGATGGCATGTGTCTTGGAGGTACTGACAGGACTGGATTTTCCCTGAAATGCTGACTAAGTGTTTGTCTTTAGTTTATTGCATTTTTAAAGAGTTTATTGCTTTTAGAAATTGTGGAGCAGTTTTATAAATGCAGTGAATAAATTAAACTGAACATTACCTATGAACCTATGGGCTGAAAAATACTTCCTGTCAAAAATTTCTATCTGTAGAAGGTTCCCAATGAGATGGAAAAATTGTACACTTGAATGACAATGCAAAAAAAAAAAAAAAAAACCTAAGGAGGGGGGATTGCTGGTAAAGAACTCATTATTTGATGTTATATGAGCCCCCACCCCTTAGAGTTGAACAGGAGTGGACAGGGGAAATCTTGACCTTTATGCTGGCATTTAAAATTTTCAACTGGAGCAAATATTCTAATGTATATTTATTATATACTAATATAATATGCAATTATATACTAACATATTTATACAATTAATCAATTTCAATAACTAAGGCAAATATATAGATGCCATTCTTGGCATTACAGAAGCTTAATGCTTCTTCTATACTCCTAACTGTCTTGAGCAATATAATTTACACTTCTCTTCCATTAAATTACCTCTAGAAAAACAGCTGTTGAAGAAAATACCAGCTGTGCAAGTGGAGAAGAGATTTCTGTTAAAGAATTGGATGATGTACAAATTATGCCTGAAATACAGGTAATGGCATAGGCCAATTTTCTTTGATCAACAAAATTGTGGCCTGTTGAAATTCTGCTTCCTCTTCTATTCAGGGTAGGTAGATGACCACTGGAAGATGTGACCAGTGGTAGCATTTCATAGGCCAGAGTCCTGTCAGTGGAGACTATAAGACATGGCAAGGGCCAGTCAATTTTCTAGAGGCCTGCCAGAACTGGTTTCACTCAGCTCCTCTATTCTGCCATGTTCACCTGTTTATTGGCATAGCTTAGCCCTTGCCTGCCCCTCCATCCTCTGATCTCTTGCCCTCCAGTGAAGGCATTGGAGGGGGGAGTCCTCAGTGTTTATTGGGGAGGAGGAGAGGTCTATTAGGGCTCAGTTTGGAAACTACTTCTGAAAGTCCTACTTTTGGCCTTGGGAAGTCTGGTTCTCTTCATTTAGGACTTGTCCTAATTGCATCTCCAGTTGGGATTACTGTGAGGCCCTTTATGTGTACTTGACCTGAAGCTGCAGCTACTGCAGAAGATGTCAACCATATGTGGTTTCAGGTAAACCTTCTGCATTGGCCACCCAGGAGCCCCTCAGCCAAGTTTAGACTTCGTTTTTTGGCAAAAAAAGAAAAAGGTTATAAACAGAGGGATCAGAACTGATGACAGGTCATCTTCATTGAAGCAGACCTAGGAAATTGCTCAGTTCATCAGAGATGAGATTACCCTGCTGTTTGGGCTGTAACGTCCACAATTCTTATCATGTTTATTTGCAAATGAGCCTTGTTCCTTTCCACTGGAATACTGACCAATGCATAGGAGCCTTTAAAAAAACCAAAATATTGTTTCGAGTGAAATTCTGTGATGACAGGAACCAGGTATTCCTGGTCAGCTGTTCCATGGATGTTAGCTAACTTTTCAGTTTAAGCCCTCTATTTTCTTCGGATGTAGTGGAATAATCCAGATATTTAATAGTCTTTACATCCTGTCCCATTTTTGCATCATTTGTGTCTTGTCAGGGATGAATTGTGGAAAAATTGGTTTTAAAATAGTTTTTGAAAGCCTCCAAGCTGAGAGATTTTGTGAGCTAAACACATACTGTACACAAGGGAGTTTGTCTTTTCTGTTCCTGTTTCTTTTTCTGATGAACATGTGCTCTGTTTTCTAGTTATTTTTGCAAACTTCTGAAGTAGACCAAGAGGCTCCAGAGAATAACCAGCCAGGAACCAAAGATGTCCTGTGGTGTGCAGAGTCAGAGGAGCCACACTTGACAGGCGTGGAAGAAGTAAGCCCACTTGCCACTTTGCTGCTGAGGGTTGGGGACCCAGGACAGAGGTGGCTCTTCCTCAAGGGTTCTTCTCAGGCAGGGTCTGTTCTTCTCCTTGGGTTTGGGTCAGGGAGCTTTCCAGACCTTTCCCAGCTGGCTAGAAGCTCTTGTTTCTTCCTTGGCTTTTTAAAGCACATGATCTGAATAAGCCCAGAGACAAGGTAGGGTTTGTAACCCTTGTATTAAAAATGTAGAGGTTTATTAGGAGTTGTTGAGCTTTGCCCAGAAAGAATCAAAATATGGAGAAAGGCCTTGAGTCCAACCCCCTGTTTTGTGCTGGAATCCAGAGTGTTCTTATTCAGTGTTATTTCTGATTTTCCTGTCAGTATTTATTATGGTCTTTTTCTGATTTATTTATTTCTACAATGTGTATGTTTTTCTCTTATTTCCTTACTTCAGGGTTTTCATCTTTGGCCACTACAGGATACCTTTCGAAGCCCTTCAGCCAAATACATTGCTGCAAGTTGTTGTAAGGGCTGAAGCACTCCAGAAAACTTAGGCTATAGTCTGAGAAACAAAATCCACCTCATTTTTTAAGCCACTCATTCATTTGCAGCAATCCTTCCTTTCTAGTCTTCTCCCATTCCATGAGAAGAACACCCTCGAGGTCAATGGAGATACCACGGAGAAGCAAAGTTCACGGTCTTTGGGACCATCTTTCATGGCAACTGTTGCTTGCACACATTTAGCATTACTTTTACAGTAGCATAATTGCCTTGAGGACTGGGGAAATTGCATTACTCGTAGAGTATTTGTAGCTTGAAGTTGAACTGTAGTCTTTGGTGTTCCCTGGGTTTCAAAAGTCTGAAGGAAAACCATTAAGCACAGAGAGCACCAAGAACCCCATAAACTTCATTATTCTTTCCATGGCCCATTGATCTGTCTTTCTCTGTTAGTACCATCTCTCAGAAGGAAAAAATGTTTGCCTTTGTTTTGTTCACTGCCTGTTTGTTCAAACAGGAAACTCAAAACTGGAGGGAAGGGAAGACCTTAACAAGTATCCAGCAGTGCCCACTTATGGGCAGCAGAGCTAGCAATCCTGGGGCACCTTTGCAATCCTGGAGCAGTGACTCTTTCTTTCTTGCTTAATCAGGTTTTTGACATCTTGCCACTATATGGAACATTGCAGCCAAATGAGACCCAGCAAATGTCATTTACTTTCTACGGCCATGCCAACATTGTTGCTTGTGTCAAAGCACTCTGTGAAACAGAGGGAGGCCCCACCTATGAAATTCTGCTGCGGGGTGAAGCCTCATTTGTTCGCTATGTGTTTGACCAAAAGGAAATTGATTATGGACTGCAGGTAGGTCTAATGTGCTGTTTGTTTATTGAATACACACGTGCGTGCACGCACATACACATGAAATGCTGTTGAGCTCTCAATCCTCTTTTAGGCCTCCGCTTTTTCATCATACTTCCTTTTATTCTCTAGAACAGCGGCTCCCAACCTTTTGAGCACCAGAGACCAATTCCATGGAGAGAGTTTTTTTCATGGACCCGAGGGGGCCTGGTTTCACATGCTGCCTGCATCCAGCAGATGGGGCTTTGCTTGTTTGCTGGCATGCCGCAGGGGTTGGGGACTCCTGTTCTATAAGTCATCCTTCAGGCACAGTCTTTACATAAATATATGTCCTCAAATGAAGTCCTGTGTTTTGCATGGGTCTCAGCATTTTATGAAGATTTCTGAAGGATTGGGCCTGTAACGTCATAGAAAACTTTCCAGGCTGGAATGATCTGGCATCAGTCCTCATGCACTTAGAAATGTTTCTTTTAAAAAAAACAAAAACAAAACAAAACAAGTTTTATTTCAGTTTTCCACATTTTAAAAACAGCTCTTTGTAGTGAACAGCATGATTACAGGTTTCCACATTTACATACAAATATGACCATAGTTACATTTCAACGTATCTTAATAATGCTTTTATACATTTTCTATTTTATTGCATTATTCCAGATGCTTGCCTCTTATTTAATTCATAATTCATAATTATCTTCATAATTATTATGCTTTAGTACTTTTAACTGTCACATTTGCATATTTCATCATAAGTTCTAATTTGATAGTCATTTTAAGAATTAGTTTCCCCCCTAAATTATCAATTTGAGTGTGCCATCTCTAAGTATTACATATTCATTAATTATCTTCCCTGTTAAATTCCATTAATCACTTAATTTTTATTACCTAAAAAAATAAAATTAATAATCCCATTAAAACCAGATAGCATATATAAATCAAACTCTGCATGGTTTTTCCCCTTTTTAATTTCAGAAGACTTATTTACAATTTCAAAAAACAGAACATATTAATCTACTCATTTAATCCTGAACCCTGATGTTAATTCCATTTCAGTTCTCCCCCTATATTATTTCAGTTATTTCAATAGATTTTATACACATATTCCATTAATTATTCCATTCATCTTTATACATTTAAACAAACGAGCCTGCATTCCAATAATAGAAAATATCTACTCCATTACAACCCTCCTCATATTTCATTTCAATTATTTCAATATATTTAGTAAACGTATTCCATTAATTATTCCAATTTATCTCTATACATATAAAAAAGAGCTTACATTCCAATATCAAAAAGTATCATTTCTGTTTTCCATCTTAATCATCTATATATCCCTATTTCCTACAATATTCATAACTTTAAGTATATTTATGCTACTCCCCATCACCTTGCAGAATCCCCTTTTTGAATATTAATCAGCCATTGTCTCTGTGTCTTCTAAATAAGCAGTTTCTTTTCATTTTTTACAATTCCCATATTTCTTTGTTTCCAGAACCTGTTTCTTATCCCTTCTTTTCCCTTTCATTATCCACTTTTTTCTTCCACTCCAGTTTTTATCCCTCTCCCTATTTATAGCTTCTTTCTACCCTTCAAATTTCTGCTGTTTCTTTTTACCTTTTTTAATTTTTTGTATATTCCCCTCTTTATTTAACTTCTTACATCTCATATTTTTATTTCCCACTCTTTTCCTCCTTCTTTTCAGAATTCTTTGTTCCCGGTGGTAGTTAAAAATGGCCTCTTCTGTAGTCAGTTCCCCCTCCTCTTCTGTCTTTTGTCTTTGTTGTTCATATTCTGAAATTGTGTTTTCCATAAATTTTAAAGCAAAGCCCAACGATTCACCTCACTCTTGTAATGTTTCTTTCATGTTTTTAAGTTCCATTTTTAATTCCAGAAGTTGCCATTTTATACATTTCTGTTTAATAATTTAATCCAAGTAGTGTCCATGAGATTAGTTTCCAACTGTCAGCTTTTGTTTTATTCCTCTCAAATTTTTGGTTCACAACTAATCCAATACCAAATCCATGTCAAAATCAACAATTAATCCCAGGGCAGAATCTTAATTCTTCTTTCTTTGTTTCAGTGATTTAATTTTCCAAAGTTCTTGTTTTATTGTATCAGTATTCTTTACAGTTTTTAAGAAACAGAGTCTTTTAGAAAAAAAACAAATTAGATTTAACCATTAGATGGCACTCTTTATTATAACAAATCTTCACCCCTTTTTTTTATTCAGCTATTCAGGGCTTTTTAAACCACAATCTTCCAAGAAAAAAGTCAAATCCAATTGGTATTAAGTTTTCCCTTTAACAGTCTCAAATTCAGCTTTATTAGTGCCTATGTAAAATCAACGTATATTTATCCAAATTAGTTAGAAGTTTTCTTCTTCCAGCTTTTCTACCTTTCTCGGTTCAAAGCCTCACCACTGTCGGAAACAATTCACACCTTTTTTTCTCCTTTCTCTTCGCCGCTTTAAATCCTTTCTTAAAAATTCTTAAAGATTAATCCTGGGGTACCTTTCATTTAATTATAACATCCTGTTTTTCCTGCTGTCCGCTTCTTTCTCTCTCCTGCACAATCTTATTCCAGCTTACTCTTCCCCTTCACAGGGTGGCCATTTTAGACCACCACTTCAGACGTCTTTGGGAGGGAGCGTTTGCCAAGCCAGGAAGGGGATTTGCGACTCCCCTTTACCCGGCTGATGGTCTCCCCTTCCTTTGCTGCCCCTACGAGGCATCTTCTGCCCCAGATCTAGCCGATCAGGGCTCTCCGATGAAGAAGCACAGACCAAAGCCGCGGATGATCGCGGTCAGCGGTCCGCCTTCGGGGAAGTCCAAAACCAGAACCCGCGCTTAGAAATGTTTCTGAGTGATGGGAGGGACTATCCAATTGTATCTGATTCTAGTGGGCTACTAGAACAACTCTCCCTGCAGCTCATCCCAGCCAGAAGGAGTGGGGGAAGAAAAGGTCTCAGAAGGGACCCTCCCTAATTTTCAGGGAGGGATGGAACATCTGTGAATGTACAGAAATGCCAGAACTTGCATATAAATAGAAAAACATATAAATATGTTAGCAAACTAAATAAAATGCTATTATGTTTTTCCAGAGGTGAAAATTGAAACAGTTTGAATAGTGGATGACCTGATGCTAGCTAAAAGTTTGGCCACATTTCTTGGAATGATGCTGCTTGAACCTCATTGCAGAATAACATTTTCATCATTTTCCCTCTCAATCCATGGGTTAACTCACTTATGCATCTAGGCCCACTGAACGTTTCTAACATTGAAACATTGTGTATGTGTAGTAGAAGAAATCCCTCCCAGCTTGCCTGGTGAAGAGTTGTGAGGGAATCAGGAAGGGGGCTTCAGCCAAAAGCAGGGGTTGTTTCAATTAGCATTGTCCTCTTCTCTCCTAAGCCCTTGGACCACATCTGTATGGCTGAGATTATTCTGAGAAACAAAGGAAAAGTTGGATTTGAATACTCTGTGCTTGATGCCATCCAGGCCTCAGCTGACAACCCTCCCCCCGGTGTGCCATTGACTCTACCCGCCACTGTAAGTAATATTGAAGGAGGCTAACCTAGGGGACCATGTGTGTGTGTGTTTTTTTAATTAATTAATTAATTGATTGATTGATTTGATTTGTCAGTCGCTTACAAGATAATAGGTAAAAGTATAAACATGAGTAAGAATACAGGAAATAGGTACGAATAAATGGGGACAATAGGACAAGGGACAATAGGCACGATGGTGCACGTATGCACGCCCCTTACAGACCTCTTAGGAATGGGGTGAGGTCAGTAGTGGATAGTTTGAGGTTAAAGGAGTGGGGATTAGAGGATGTAACAACAGAGTCAGGTAGTGCATTCCAGGCGTTGACCACTCTGTTGCTGAAGTCGTACTTTCTGCAATCGAGTTTGAAGCGGTTTACATTGAGTTTGTATCTGTTGTGTGCTCTTGTATTGTTGCAGTTGAAGCTGAAGTAGTCATTGACTGGTAGGACATTGTAGCAGATAATTTTGTGTGCTATGCTTAAGTCTAACCATAGGCGACATAGTTCAAGGTTGTCCAAGCCCAAAATCTCAATCCTGATGATATAGGGTATTCTGTTGCGAGCAGAGGAGTGTAGTACTCTTCTAGTGAAATCAGTGGTCCCCAACCTTTTTTGTACCAGGGACCAGTTTCAAGCAGAAACACTTTTTCAAGGACCGGGGGCGGGGGGGGGGAGAGATTCTATTTTCCATTCCCAAAACTTTATGTTTACCCTACAGCTAGCATTAAAGACACCTGACTGCAGTCTCGCTAGTTCTAGGTCTTGCCCAGCTGTGTAGCTACAAAATTTCATGCAGATGTTTCTCTTATCTCTGTTTGGTGAAAACAGGAATTGAATGAGGAGCATTTAGTCAGTGTGTTTTCCCTAGGAAGCTCCTGTAGTCCTTGTTTAGGGATCATTCAGAGCTACGATGGACCTCTAACATCCAGCCCAGGAAGAAACTGCTTCAAAGAAGCCGGGGGGGGTGGCTTTTCCTGTCGCCGCACCTCCTCCGAAGCGCCTGTTCACCCCTACCCCGCCCGCCCGTGCGCGGTTCAATCCAGTGCTCCGTTCTGCCTGCCTGCCTTCGTTTCTGGTTGATTTGGAGCAGCTTCGGCTGAGAATAATAACTATTCGCCTCTTTTTATCAGCCGAAGCTGCTCCCAAACAACCAGAAACGAAGGCAGGCAGGCAGGCAGGCAGAACGGAGCACTGGATTGAACCGCGGGCGGGCGGGCGGGGTGGGGGTGAACGGGCACTTCGGAGGAGCTGCGCCGACAGGAAAAGCCACCCTGCCGGCTCCTTTGAAGCAGTTTCTTCCTGGGCTGGTGGAGGAGCGAGAGAGCGACTGAGAGAGGAACGAGGCGGGAGGAAACCGAAGCCACTGAGCCGGAGAGCAGGACAGGCTTTGGTTGCTTCCTCCCTCCCCTTCTTTCATTTGTGTCCTTGATCCCTGATCCCAGCAGCATTCACCGAAGGCGAAGAAAGCCACCATTTTTTAAAAAAAAAATTTCTTTGCGGCCCGGTACAGAGTGCTCCACGGACCGGTACCGGTCTGCAGCCCGGTGGTTGGCGACCCCTGAGTGAAATAATTCTGGATTCGCTCAATTGTATTAATGTCTGATATACAGTGCGGATTCTAGACTGAAGAGCTGTATTTGAGTATTGGTCTGGCAAAGGTTTTGTATGCTCTAGTTAGCAATTCGATATTTCCAGAGGAGAAGCTTTGTAAGATTAGATTTACAACTGTTAATGCCTTTTTGGCAATGCTGTTGCAGTGAGCTCTGGCACTTAGGTCATTTGATATGAGAACTCCAAGGTCCTTGACAGAGTGAGGATCATCAACAAGGTCATATCCGCCTAGTTTGTATTTGGTGTACTGATTTTTTTTACCAATGTGTAGGACAGAGCATTTTTTTGTTGAGATTTAGAGTTGCCAATTGTTTGACCATTCAGCCACATAATCAAGGTCTCTTTGAAGGACAGTAGCACTGTTGGTGGTGTTGAATAGTTTTACGTCATCCACAAAGAGGATGCAGTTGCTTACAAGGTGATTGCAAAGGTCATTTATATAGAGTATAAAGAGTGTGGGTCCTAGAACGCTGCCTCGGGGGACACCGCTGTTAACTGGAGCAGGGTTTAATATAGTGCTCCCTATTTTTACTATTTGTTGCCTGTTTGACAGGAATGCAGTAATCCATTTATGAAGGGATCCGGAAATGCTGTAAGAGTTTAGTTTTAACAGTAGTTTTTCATGTACCACTGAATCAAAGGCTTTGCAGAAGTCTATGTAGATTGCGTCTATAGCTTTACCCTGGTCAAGTAGAGTAGTCCATATGTTTTTGCAGTGTATGAGTTGAAGATTGCAGGACAATTTTTTCCTGAAACCAAATTGTTTTTTGGAGAGTAGGTTGTTTGACTCTAAGTGGAGGGTGATGAATTGGTTAATGATTGATTCCATGACTTTGCACGTGATACAACACAGTGAGATTGGTCTGTAGTTTTCAACCAGGGTGGGGTCACCTTTTTTAAAGATAGGTATGACCGTAGCTAAGGACCATAGGTTTGGTAAGGAGTTGGTTCTGAATGATATATATAATGCTTAGGGGTTCCGCTGTGGCAGAGAAGAGCTTTTTAAGAAGTATGCACATAATCCATTGGGGCCAATAGATAGGGATGGTTTTAGGTTATGTAGTGCCTTTTCTACGTTATTGCTGATCTATGCAAAATATAGAAAGCAAGCAGATTCTTGCATCAGAATCCAGAGGCCCTATGCAGTATTCAGACAGCCATCAGCCTCACCACAGTTTCTTGTGAACTCACTTCCTTGGCTTCATACCCGCTGACTCCCGGCTTCTAAGTGGGTCAGAGTGGTCAGCATGTCATGAGAGCTGCAGAAAGTAGGCAAGAGGACCATAATAGAGAGATGCTAGATATGTTCCAGGGGCAATGAGGAATGAAACATATTTTAAGTTCAAAAGAACACATAACATTCAGCAGCTCAGACACTTCCTTAATTCACAGAAGTATAATAAAGGGAAAGATGTACAGCATAATCAGTTTTTGTTGATATAGTTGATGTCGAATCCAACAGAATGGAGCTGGAAGGTCTGCCTGTGGCTGCACCCCAATGCCTACACCTCCCCAGTCCTACAACTCTTTACTGTCTTTACTATCAAAGAATCATAGCTATAATAAGCTAACTGTCAACACTGAACTGAACCTGCTAGAGGCCCTTTTCCTGGTTCATCATTGCCAGACTGTATATGGGAGGGGGGAGGTTGGAATTTGAAATTTCTTGTGAGAACCAAGGTTATCTCCAAGTTGATGGATGAAGACGGAGAAGAGTGCCTGAGAAGCCCTGCCAATTTATCTAATTGGCCAACGTGACCAGTGACATTGGGGGGGGGGGAGGGGTGATTACTGATTTTAACTATGATGAAACCATGGGAAAGAGTTGGTTTTCAATCAAGTGTGTCAATAAAGAAGTTCTTTGAGGAAGTGCCTGGCCTCAGTCCTGATTTGCTTGGGTTCATTAGTCAGAACCTTGACACTAACTTCAAAATAAAGAATAACTTAAAGAAAGCAATAATAGTTTTCCCCAGCACTATTGATAGAATCCAAAGAGTGCCATCCAAATGATGCAATTTCTTTGAGAATTAATAGAATGACAAAGTTGGAAGGGACCTTGGAGGTTTTCTAGTCAAACCCCTGCTCAAGCAGGAGACCTTCTACCATTTCAGGCAGGTTGCTGTCCAGTCTTTTCTTAAAAACCTCTAGTGGTGAAGCACCTACAACTTCTGTTCCACTGCTTAATTGTCTTCAGTGTTAGGAAGTTTCTCCTTCTTTGCTTCTCTTCTTGATTGGTTTCCATCCATTGTTTCTTGTCTTGTCTTCTGGTCTTTTGGAAAATAAGTTGACCCCTTCTTCTTTGTGGCAACCTCTGAGATATTGGAAGACTATCATGTTACCCTTAGTCAAGTGGTCCCATAGAAAGTGGGGCTGCTATACCGGGCTACATACTGGTCCGGGACGACAGAGAATCCCTGCCTCTGAAAGTCATGTTCAACAGGCGGCTGGAGAAGCTAGTCTGTTTCCTGAACCAGGTGTGGAACTACTTGGAGCGAAATGGAGCAATGTACCCAGATGAAGTTGCCTATATGATGCAATTATTTTGAATCTAGAAGGAGAGGCAGCAGACTGGGTGGCGTTTCTCTATGATGAAGGGCCCCTAGATCTGGGGAATATGGATGCCTTCTTGGATGAGCTTCTAGCTAGGTTTGGAGACCCTGCACAAGCCCTCCAAGCAGAATCTGGGATCTGCATCATAAGGCAAGAGAATAGACCAAGTAACCAAAGGCAACTACAGAGTTTCTTGGGCTTTCCCAACTTATATCACCAACGTCATTCCCTCATTCGCACAGATAGCCCTGCCCATCACCAAATTACTAAAAATGGGTGGAGGAGGGATGAAACCCAAGCTGAGCCAGCCGCTTAACTGGACTGTGGAATGCCAAGGAGCATTCAAAAGGCTCAAACAGCTTTTTGCAGGGGAGGCAATTCTTAAACCCCAGAGGAACCATTTGTAATGCAAGCCAATGCTAGCAATGTGGCAGTGGGGGCCATTCTGCTCCAAAGAAATGTGAAGAGGATGCTGCAGGGAATGTGAAGAGGTTGTGCCTACACTTTCTGGAAATTGACTGACACCAAAAGGCCTTGAGCGGTGTGGGAGAAAGAGGCATATGCCATTTGATGGGTGCTGCTGACTTGGAAGCAATCCCTGGAGGGCAGTAAGATCCCTTTCAAAGTTTGGACTGACCACAAGAACTTAGTAAGCCCTAAAAACCCCAAAGAAGCTGTCCCCTAAGCAAGTACGATGGGCTCAGAACTTTTATTGGTTCAATTTAACCCTTTGGTATTTGCCAGGTGGGGGAAGAATTTCCTTGTGGATGTGCTTTCTCAGATGCCCCAATACAAAACACCCAGGAGGAAATAGTTAACTCCATTATCCCCTCCTGGCAAATGGCAGTGCAGGTCTCTGCGAAGCGACGGCTGCTAGCCACTCCTCAAATGGCTGACAGTGTGCTGACCCAACAGCTAAAGGAACCCCAGAAAGAAGATGCATGGTTGAAAGACCACAAAAACGAGTTGATGATGAGGGAGGGCCTCATGTGGAAGGAAGCCGGCAGACCACTTCGGGTTCATAAAGACCCTTCACTTGCTAAGAGGCAGTTCTAGTGGCCCAAGATGAAGAAAGACATAGAAAACTATGTAATCAGCTGCCCAGTGTGTGCATCCATGAAGTGATTGTCAGGGAAGACTCCTGGGCTGTTACAGCCATTGGCCAAGCCCAGCCGATCATGGGAAGAAATCGCCATGGACTTTATAAAGGAATTGCCTGACAGTAATGGGAGTACTGTGATTTGGATACTGATTGACTTATTTTCAAAGCAAGCACAGTTCATCGCCTGTCTGAAGGTTCCCTCAGCCCAGAGTTTGGCCAAAATGTTCATGCAGCATGTCTGTCGGCTGCATCGAGTCCCTGTGATGACCCAGGGCGTGGCACAAAGGCAACACAGTCAGATAATCAGTAGGAGTCTCTTTATTAGCTTCAACTTTGCCCCCGGTGTCCTGGTTACCTTCTGGCTGGAGAAAAACTCTCCCAGGAACAGCCTTTGACTGCAGAGAATCAAGTCCAAAATGTGGTCAACAAAAGCTGTAACTATAAGTCCATTCAAGGCAAAATGAGGTAATGGGTCCGACAGGGCAGAAGCAAGAATTCCAGATGTGAAGGCACAGCATTAACTGCACATGGTTGGGAGGATGCCAGGAACACAGATAATCAAAGTCAACACAAGATAAACTCACCTTTGCTCCCAGCAACTGCTGTACTCAGCATGCATTTCTTTTAAACTCTCATTCCCAGGTGTGGCTAATGAAGGGAATCAGGGCCCTTTCCTCCCCCATAAGCCACGTAACCCACATTGCTCTCTTCTCTATTCCTCCCTGCGTGCCCTAGGATGAGGAGGGGTGGGCCTGGGTCTTCCTCTTAACTCCTTCTCCCTTATTCTATCTCTCTCCTGCTCTGCCCAGCTGGACTTTGCCCTTCCCCAGTTTCCTCCACAGCCAATGGAGCCACACTCCCACTCCCTGTCAGCTGTTCGTCTTCCTCCTCGGATTCAGACTCCAACAGGGGCATGACTGTCCCAAGGCACCTCATTTCAGACTGGGGGATGCAGTTTACAGCAAAGTTTTGGTGGGAGTTCATAAAGCAAATAGGATCAGCCCAGGGATTTAGTTTGAGTTCCATCCAAGTACCAATGGGGTGGCAGAATGAGCCAACACAATACTGGAGCAATACCTACGTTGGTATGTAAACTATCAGCAAACCAACAGGGCAGAGCACCTACCTTTTGCAGAAGTGGCTTATAATAAGTTGATGCATAGTAGCACTGGGCTCACCCCTTTAAAGTAACCACAGGAGTTGAGTTTATGCCAATGCCAGAATTTCCAAGGGAACCCCCTCCCTCAGTAACCTTAGCTGAATGGATGGACACCCTAAAAGCTGCCTGGGGAAATGTGCAAAAGGCACTGAATAAAGCCAGAGAGTCACACACACACAAAAAAACCCCAGGCAGATCGGAAAAGAGCCCCCCAGAAGGAGTTCAGGATTGGGGAGAAAGTATACCTTCTACTACATATCCGAAACTGGACCAGCCTTGTAAGAAACCGGGTCCTAAGTACATCGGACCATTCCCAGTTGTTTGAATTGTAAACCCAGTTACAGTCCACCCACTTCATGTGATTTTGATTCTATGCCTCTGTTTATACAAACAAGGATTGCATTTGCTTTTTGGGCTGTTAAGTGATCATCCATTAGGAGTCCAATGTCCCTCTCACAGTTACTGTTTTGAGCCAGGTTTCACCTAATTTGTATTTGTGCCTTTGGTTTTTCTACTTAGTGTAAAACCTTGTTGACCTATGTCAATAAAAGTAGTTTTAATCATCCTGTGAGGTTGATTTCTTGATGTGGTTAGTCTTGCAGGTACTCTCTTTTAAAAGATCAAAAGGAAACTCAAATTTATGCAGATTATAACTTCATAGCAGATTTAATTGATTAAACCACCCCTACCTCTCAAAAGAACATTGTTGAAAAAGAAATAAGATGTAAATTCTTTTCAACACAGTACAATCAGTATCCAAACCAAATATAATACAAACTCTTGTATGGATTGTATGGTTCTGAAATGGCAAAAACCTAAATAAGCATTTGAATTGAGAAAGCTATAAACTGCAGGTTCTTAACAATGGCAGCGGAGACACCAGAATGGCCATCATTGAGTGGTGCAGTCACATGACTTCGTACTTTGTAACCATGACACTTAGTGAAATGGCAGTTCTGGTCCTGATTTTTGCCATAAGTAGAGGATCATCTGTAATTACTGTATTCCTATAACATATTATTTGTTATCTATAGTTTGCTTTTTTCTCTTTTATTTGAGTTTTGTTAACCAAATATTTTAAAAATTCAATAGTAATATACTTTGACTAGAAAATAGGTACAAAGTGTCTTATAATATATTGTTTTAATTGTCCATTAAATAGATTAGCTATATGATGTTTCTGACAATGCTATTCAAGATATATTAATTACCTGCTGGTATAAATATTGTTTATAATGTTTATTATAAACCTATAAAACATATAGTTTTTTAAACATTTAAAAATAGTAAAATTTATCTCTGCCTATCTCTGCATACCAGGAAACAGACACAGGTTTAAGTTGGGTAGCTACAACTTTTTAAACAGAAAACAAATTCAAAATGATATTGACTCTCAGAGAAATAGGTTCTCCCCGTTTGCTGCCATTTTCAGAATTGATGGGCCTTCTCATCATTCTGAGATTGAACTGTGGTTCCTACCTCATCTGATACCTTTGCAAGTCAATGATGAATCATCCCTGTGCTTTGGAACTAACATCTGGGCATCCTTGGGAGTTGTGAAAGACGGCTAGGGGTTTTGTGCAAAGGGTGAAGAGTTTCATCATTCTGCCTTTTCCATCTTCTAGAATTATATTGACTCAGGAAAGGAGCAAATATTGAAAGTCTATTACTTACCAGGAGTTCCAGAAGTCTTTCAGAGAACCTTCCAAATACAGGTGGCTCACCTGGAACCAGATAGTATCACTCTGAAAGGACAGGGAATTTTCCCTAGAATTTGCTTGGATCTGCCCAGGAATATTCGCGGTAAGAGTACTTGTCTTCCCATGAAACTAAGATAGCTGAAAAATATAAGTTAATTCCTTCACGAATATTCATGAAACATTATTTTTTGTTTTGGGTTTCAAACAACAATCTTTTAATTAATCTATCTGAATTCTCTATCTAGTATGAAAATGCCAGGTTTTCATAGTAAATATCCTTTTCATACTAGAATCACAAATATTGGCTAAGAGGGTTAATTTTAAATATTGTTTTCCCTTCCCGAGAATATTTCAGTTTTTTTCTTAAAATCATGCTCTTTGCCAATGTATCTGCAGGGGCATGAAAAATATCAGCTATCCATTTTTGTCTCAACCACATATAAACAAGAAGTCAAAATTTGATAAGCATGAGCTTATTCGAAAGCAATGACTTTCAACACTGAACTTGTTTTTTAAAAGAAGTCTTGCTAGTTAATTCTTGTGTGCATGAAAACATTTGTACTATAACAACAAAGAAAAATGCATTTGCAGTTGTCAGGCTTAAAGATCAGTGTCTTGTATTTAAATAAGTAAGCTCAATATCAAAACACAAGATATAAATAGCAACCTTCCAACCAAACTAACATGGCAGTCTTTTCATTTTGAATGATAATTTTATTTAATTATTTAATATTTTTATTATTTAGATAGTCTGGCTTTCAGTCAATGCATGATTTTAAGGCAACTTCCAAGAATTAAAAATGCAAAATATAGAACATAAAAAAATTGTGGTTAAAATTAAAAGTGAAAATTAAAATCAGCATCAATAAATAATTAACCATGAAAAAGCTTGTGAAAAGAGGTGTTTTTTCTATGTTCCCACTATATTGAAAAATAAGGGAATGAAGAGCCCACTTTCTTGGGGAAAGCATTCTAAAGCATGAGAGCTCAATATCCTCAGGATACACCCACGGACTGCTCAACTATCCAAATGGAAAGCAGCAAAGGAGCCAAATTAGTCCATTGATGTTATTAAATGCACCCTGAAAGCTGGAGTCTAGAATATGGAAGCCACTGAAAAGAGCATAGCCTCTTTCAAGTGCATTTGCTCTCAGTTCAGAATGCCTGGCTTTCCTGCTTTACATAGGAAATGAACGGCACAGCATCATCTTCAAAGAAGTGAAGCAGCGACTAGAACAGGAAACACAGAAAGAATTCACTAGTAATTCTGAAGCATTGACGACTGAACCACCCATGGAAGAATCCTTCACCACGGTAAGATGAACAGCTCTTCCATCTGACTATCAGCTGAGCTGGGTGGAGGCAGTAAGGTAGAATTAATCCCCTGAGGAGCAACCACACTCCTATATGACACAACCATCTCAGGAAGTGGCATCAAAGGCCAATGTTTGGGTGGGTGGGTGGGGCTACATCCTGTTCTGTGTGAGGTCAGGATGCAAGAGTAGAAGTCCAATACTGCCATGGACATGCTAGAGTTGACTCTTCCTGATGTCTTTAGCTTGACACACAACTGCAGATGGAGTTGGAAAGGCTGCTTGTTCAAGAGCACGCTCTGGAGCAACAGAAGCTGCTGGCCTCTGTTTCAGTGGATGACCCTGCTGGCTGTCAGCGAGCTCGCCGGAAACTGGTCAAGTTAGTGCATATAGCTTCTTTTTGGTCCAAGAGGATAGGCTTCCAGGAGTTTTCCCAGGGAATCATCAACGAAATGCATGCTCCCAAACCTGTTCACCTGGTCTTTTGGGCCTCTCTTTAGCAGGGAGACACACTGTCTAGCCTGAGAGGCTAGCTGTGGTTTTCTCTTCTCTAGGCTGGGTAAATGCTTGTGAAAGGATTTCTGTGCATGAAGGTACAAAGAAAGGAATCGAATGATGAATAGTTAAGGAAATAGGTCTCATGGCTGCCATTCCCCCAAGCCAAGCTTTGCAAAGCTGGCAACCTGACGTTAGCAACGGAGATGGCAGCAACAGGAAGGGAAGAGGATTGGAATGCAGGGAGGAGATGGGGGTGGGGCAGTGGGAAACATAAGCATGCTTGCCAAGGAATGAGGAACACTTGCTAGCCAAGGTCACCTAACAGAGTGCAAAGCAGAAAAGCCTGTGAAATCAAAGGCCTGTTGCCCAAACAATATACCAGCATTTAATTGGATGTTTGCTGATAACCGGAGCGGGGGTGGTGGTGGTCAGGAAAAAGAGGATGTTAATTGCATTGTCTGTGCGGAAAAAAGCCAGATTAAGCTCTTGTCACGTATACACTTGACAAAACAATGGTCCAGGAGTCTTTCTTTGCTGGGTGAATGAGTGGGATAGTTGACACTAGGTACCGTATGTCTAGCTTAACAAGAAGTGACAGGGTAGCTGTCTTCCAGTACCTGAGCAACTGTCACAGTCAACCTATTCCACAAAGCACCTAAGGGCAGCATAAGGAGCAACCAGCTCTTCAGCAGGCGATCCAATTTCAAACTAGGAAGAAATTTCTTGACAGAAGATTTAATGAATGGAACAGCTCCACGATTTGTGGGTGCTCCATCCCTAGAGGTTTTCAAGGAAATATTGGACAACCATTTGTCTGGGGTGGTATAAGGATTGCTGCCATGGGCATTGGACTAGAAGTCCTCCAAGGTCTCTTCCAGCCCTCTGAGTCTAGGACTCTATGGCTTGCCGCTTAACTTCCTTTCTCTCCCTCATAAGCACAGCCAGTCATGCCAGTCTTTAGTGTAGTTGAAATGAATGAACTGGCGAAATTTCAGATTTTGTGGAAAATATTACTCATCCTATTTATGTTAACATCATCATCATGCTTGTTTTTAGAGCCCAGCTACCTGAGTATATCTTAGATTTTGGCTATATAATCATGGGCACCATCAGAACTCACATCATCAAGATCACAAACACTGGCCACTTCCCTGTCTCCTTCCATGCAGATCGACGGGACCTACGGGATACAGGTACAAGAATGGCATCATTCCATTTTTTTCCTAGCCTATGTTGAAACAGTAAACAATGGTTTAAGGCCCAAATAATTGAAATGGAACAAAATACATTGAAACTTCCCATGTTTACTGAACAAGTGTAGTTTTTTTAATATGTCCAATTGTCCATTGCTGGTCATCTCCTATGCCATGGAGATTGCAGTGAGGGAGGAAGGATCTCTCAGGAACTCTTCCTAGCCTTGCTCACTTTTATCTGTGTTTGCAACATGAGTCAACTTACTGCTGCCCTTTTACCCCAGACCAGAAGAGGCTTCTGTTACCGTGACAAAAAATAATGCCAGGTCTAACTTGCTGATTAGCACCAATAAGAAACAAATGAACAATTGGTAAGCCCTGGTTCAGCCTGTTCAATATACACACACGTACATACATATATATGTAGATGTGCACACCCAGACAGTCGCTATCACTTACAAATCCTAATGACTATGTTCACATGTTACATTAAGCCAAAATCAAGCCAAAGCTCTGTCCATTTATTTTATTATTTATTTATTTATTTTTGTCAATTGCTTACAAGATAATAGGTATAAGTAGAAACATAGTTATGAATACATGGATAAAAATAAAAAAAACAAAAAAAACAATAGGACAGGGACGGTAGGCACGTTGGTGCGCTTATGCATGCCCCCTACAGACCTCTTAGGAAAGGGGTGAAGTCAACAGTAGACAGTCTAAGGTTAAAGTTTTTGGGGTTTGGGGAAGAAACCACAGAGTTAGGTAGAGTATTCCAGACATTGACCACTCTGTTGCTGAAGTCATATTTCCTGCAATCAAGTTTGATGCGATTAACCTTGAGTTTGTATCTATTGTTTGCTCTTGTGTTGTTATGGTTGAAGCTGAAGTATTCATTGACAGGTAGGACATTACAATGTATGATTTTATATACCATACTTAGATTGGACCGAAGGCGACGTAGTTCTAGGTTTTCTAGGTCTAGAGTTTCAAGTCTGGTGGCATAAGGTATTCTACAATGAGTAGAGGAGTGGAGAACTCTTCTTGTGAAATATTTCTGGACTTTCTCAACTTTCTCAAGACTGAGCTGCATTCAAGTATTGGTTTAGCAAATGTTTTGTATGCTCTAGTTATTAGTGTAATATTACCAGAGAAAAAGCTACGTAAGTTTAGGTTAACAACTCTTAATGCCTTTTTGGCTATGTAGTTACAGTGGGCTCTAGCACTTAGGTCATTAGAGATGAGTACTCCAAGATCCTTGACAGAGTTTGGATCATCAACAAGGACTTGACTATTCAGCCTGTATTTTATTTTCTGATTTTTTTTGCCAATATGTAGGACAGAGCATTTATTTATTGAGATTTGAAATTACCATTTGTTTGATAATTTTGATACATAGTCAAGGTCTTTTTGAAGGGTAGCAGTATTGTCTGTGGTGTTGAATAGCTTTACATCATCACTGAAGAGAATGCAGTTGCTGTTGATATGATCACAGAAGTCATTAATGTAGAGTATGAAAAGAGTTGGTCCTAGAACACTACCTTGGGGACACGACTGTTGAGAGGTACAGAATTTGATAGGACACTCCCAATTTTGACCATTTGTTGTCTGTTTGACAGGAATGCTTCTATCCAGTTATGCAGGTGTCCAGAGATACCGTAAGGTTTTAATTTTAGGAGTAGTTTGTCGTGTACCACTGAATCAAAGGCTTTACAGAAGTCTATGTAGATTGCGTCTATTGCTTTGCCCTGATTGAGTTGTGTAGTCCATATGTTTTTGCAGTGTAAGAGTTGCAGATTACATGATACTTTTTGCCTGAAACCAAATTGTTTTTTAGAGAGTAGGTTGTTTGTTTCTAAGTGGAGGATGATGGATTGGTTAATAATTGATTCCATGACTTTACAGGTGACGCAGCATAAAGAGATTGGTCTATAATTTTCAGCTAGGCTGGGGTCTCCCTTTTTGAAGATGGGGATGACCATGACTTGTGACCATAGTTTTGGCAACGAGCTGGTCCTGAAAGATTTTTCAGATTATGCTTAGAGGTTCTGCTATGGCAGTGGATAGCTTTTTAAAGAAGTAGGCACATATTCCATCCGGTCCAATAGATAGAGATGGTGCAATAGATTTAGATTGTGTAGTGCTTTTTCAACATTGTCTTCTGTAAAATCGGTATGTATTAGATCATTGTAGATTTCTGTGGTTCGACTAGGAAATACTGGGCATGATCCATTACTGTTTACAAATACTGAGCCAAAGAATGTGTTAAAGAGGTTGGCTTTAATAGTGTCGTCGTTGCAGTCTTTACCATTAGGTCCTTTCAGGGGTGGGATGGACCTTGAGTCTTTTAGTTTGTTGTTTACAAAATTGTAGAAAGCGCGGGTGGAATTGGTGCATAGAAGGTTTTCTTGTTCTTTAATGTGATAATTGGTGCATTCAGTTTTTATCTGGTGGCATAAAGTTTTGTATCGGTTTTTGAAGTTGGCAATGTGACCAGATTTGTTTTTCCACCAAAGTGATTTCTTTTTGGATTGAAGCTTCCTTATTGTTATGGGTAATTTGTTTTTTCTGGTTTTGGGAGTTGTTAATGGTACATATAGTTTGATGACTCTTTTGACTTCAAGTAAAAATATGTTGTAATGGTCTTCTACAGCAGTGGCCCCCAACCTTTTTTGTGCCGCGGCCCGGTACTGGCATCACAAAATGATCCACGGCCCGGTACCGGCATCAGCACTCATGACAAGGCAAGGTGAGCCAAGCGACCGGCCAGCCAGCCGTCCCCCACTTCTCCCCGCCACCTTCAACTCCTCCTTTGTACCTTTGTCGATGGGCTTCGCTTCGGGACGGCTTCGGGATGGTTGCTCGGCTCGCCTTGCCTTGGGTGCTAAAAAAATCCTCACGTCTTAGTTTCATTCGAAGCCCCCCCCCCCCCCCCCCCCCCC